ATTTGAAAAAAAGAAGAGGAGTGGTGGTCACAGTTTGTTCAACCTGAACATTTTGAAGATATGAGAATTTCTTCTAAATTGATACTTCTTTTCGGAATTTTGAAAGAATGTGAACAAATTGGAGATAAAGTGTATGTAAAAATAATATCATATATTTCTTATATCATGAAAAAATAATTTATATATTATTTTCAAATAATTTTTAATGATTTTAGGTTGGTGTTTTCACAATCGTTGTATTCATTAACTCTAATTGAACAATTTCTTGAGAAAATCGATAATGCAACACAAAACGGTATAAATTCAGACTATATTGATGGACATACTGGAAGTTGGTCATTGGGTTTAGATTATTTTCGATTGGATGGTCAAACATCTGCAGAAAATAGAAATATATGGTGCAAAATATTTAATGAACCATCAAATACAAGAGCAAGATTATTTTTAATCTCGACTAGAGCAGGTGGATTAGGAATTAATTTAACCGCTGCTAATCGTGTTATTATTTTTGATGCAAGTTGGAATCCTTCACATGATGTTCAAAGTATATTTCGTATATATAGGTATATGTTTGAAAATTTATTTTAATTTATTTAAAAAATTGAATAAAATTTTATAATTATTAAGACACGTTTTTTCATATAGATTCGGTCAGAAGAAACCGTGTTATGTTTATCGGTTTCTAGCAGCTGGAACAATGGAAGAAAAGATTTATAATCGGCAAGTAACAAAACTATCGCTTTCTTGCAGAGTTGTTGACGAGCAACAAATTGAACGTCATTATAGTAATCATGATTTAAGCGAACTATATTCATTTGAACCAAATATAAATAATGGAAAAAAACCGACTTTAAATCTACCAAAAGATAGATTATTAGCAGAAATATTTTTGATATATAAAAATTTTGTGGAAAATTATCATGAACATGATTCTCTTTTGGAAAATAAAGTAATTTGTTATGTTATATTATAATACATATTTATATTTATATTTATTAAAATAAATTTTTTTTACGGATTTATTTTAAATACAGGCAGAAGAAGAATTGAATGAAGAAGAAAGAAAGCAAGCTTGGTTAGAATATGAAGAAGAAAAGAAAGGAAAACCAATGCCATCATATTCAGCAATTCCAACAATCCTAAATCAATATAATGCAATATTAAATCAATACAATGTACCATCGACATTTAATATTAATACAGATTACGAAAAACTTCGGGAACTTCTTCAAAAAGATGTTAGAATATTTGTTGTAGAATATTAGATTTTGTTTATTTCAATAATTTAAATATTTTATATATTTATTGACTTACAATTATTTATATTTTACAGTATCCTAATGCAACACCAGAAACTCAACAAATGATGACCAATCGTGTATTGGCAGATATGTATACTTATTGGGAACGACAAGCTTATCAAAATTCTGCAAATCAAATAATCAATCAGGTAATTTTTAATTTTTATTGATAATATTTAAATAGACATATTTTTCTTTATTGAATTTTTTTAATCGAGAATTTGTGAATATTAGAATCCAAATATAAATCCGCTACAAGTAAGAACTCAGGTACCCAACTTGTCCCAAATGTCTTATGCAATGCAGAATATGAATCAAAATCTAATCAATCAACCAAATGATTATAGGACATCTGATATTAGATCTGATGACGATGTTGTAGAGGTAATATATTTGTATATTTGTGTAATTAATATATATTAATAATATATATAAAGTGTTAATATATTCATAAAATACTTTTGTAGAATTGATTCTAGAAACCAAACAAATACAAAAATTAATATATAAAAATATTGGTTGAAATTTATTTATTAAGTTATAAGTAATTGAAACTTGCATTAGATGAAGCGAGATAGCAGCGTGACGAAGATATATTTATAATATGTACTTCAACCAATATTTTTGTATAACGTATGTATTTTGTTTTTTTTTTTGTCTCTAGAATCGCCTAATTATTTCACGAATACATTAAAACAGTAGCACACTGAACATACACACACACACACACACACACACACACACGCACGCACGCACGCACACACACACACACACACAGCAGAGAGAGAGAGAGAG